TTTTATGGCTTATCTAATTTTAAGTTTAGCCGCAACATACCATAATCAGCAAAACGAGAAGTTTGAGACCATTCAATTTTGTGTCTTGTTTCTGGCATGTGTTCAACCAACTCCGATTTTGGAATCCAACAGATTTTGCAGGCTTTTTTGTGCTCAGTCACCCTCTGTCAAATCGAACGACAAGTCTCTCCAAAATGAAAGCGACCACATGAACCAATTATTTTATAGCAACCCGATCTGGATAATGGGTCAACTTTCTCTCTAAAAGTGGGCATGATTGAAGAAAGTGTCATAGTTTCCCTGAAGACCGTTTATATTACCTACTTCCTTACATGTTTACCTCTCCCTTTAGAGAGAATGCACGAAGGTAAAGATAAAACATGAGAAAAGGTCTCCTTATCTCTCCTTACGTATTCAACACTCAAAAATCTTTTCCTTATTAATCTAGTGTTATTTTCAATGAAATCTAGGTGATATTTATTATAATAAATATTATTTTAAGCCGATCCAGTTCATTTTCACAATTGTCTCTCGGCTATTCTTATTCTCCAAATAATCATAGATTTTTGAACTCCACCCTTTTTTTTCTATTTATGATTAGAGAAGAAATTAAGTATAAAGCCAGCATGTGTTTGGTTTCTAAAGACATCACTACTTAACTTCTCACCTGCTCTGATCACTAAGACATCCAAAAATGGTATACTATTTTTTAACTAAACATTGCGGTCAATCTGGTTAATTAAAAATAAGAAATTGTATAAACTATCCTTGCCATGCCACGATATTAAAAAGTAGTCATCCATGCATCTAACTGACAGTCTAGGTATCAATCTTACCTCTTCCCTGAAGTGTTCCTCTATTCTTGACATGTAATTATTACCTAAAATGGGAGCCAAACAAGATCCCGTTGCTAGGCCTTTACACCTATTCATAAGCCTTATCATTACAGATAATGTATGTGCTGCTGATGAATAAATTAAGAAGCCTTAAGATTGAGCTTTTTCTCAGAATTGCTTCCCCAATAATTCCTGTATGCTCATCTAGGCTGAATGTTAGTGCTTCAATAGCTTTGTGAATTGGGATGTTAGTATACATTGATACCAAATCAAGACTAACAAAAAGCTGCTCCTCTTTGATACTCTGTTTATCTATTAATCTTGCAAATTCATGTGAATTCTTCACTGAATATTTCCAATACTCAGCCAATTTCCTTAGTTGTTTACATAAGAAACGTGAAATCCTATGCATCACACTTCTCTTGTTATTAACAAGCAATCTTAAAGGAACTCCTTCCTTTCGTAGTTTTAGAGAAGGACGTAAGCCAAAAGTGCCCTAGCATCACTCTGAATAAGGGAATTAATTTTCCACTTTTCAATTTCTCCTCTGCTTACACATCAAGCAACGGATACAGCTTTCACTGCAGGAAACTCCTCTTCTTATTGCATAACTTAGCCGGAGAGATCACAGGGAAAACTATAATATATTTAGGAAAATCAGCATTCAATTCAAGTTTAATGTCACTTTATTGCAGAAACCAGAACTGGAATCACATATACTCTCGGTTGCTGGGTCTTGGTAGTCGCTCTGCAACTATCATTTTCATGCGGGACTCTGAAAACCCAATCATGCAGCATTTTCACTTAAGCAGTGGCTCAGAGGGCCATACAGTCTTTACCGGTAACGCAAAGGGCCGACCGGCATGTAATGAGTGCCAACTAGCAAGCAGATGACTAGTAGGTGATTATGTCGGGAGGTGGGCTTTGGCCTAGGCAGAAATGGAGTTTGAAATCGAATATTGTTAAAAAGGTGACTAAATTAATTGACAATTGGCTTCTGATGCGAACGAGGAAACACGTTTAGCGAAGTAACTATTAAATTTTCCAATGAATGAGCTCTTTCTTTTTTAATAAATTAAGCCCAATCAAAACTACCCATCATGAATGAGTCGATACCACCAAAGTTTTTTGATTGTGAACCTTCCAGACGCATTCATCCTTCCGTCCTACAAGATACTGTTGAATTTGATCATGTTACCCTACGATCTGAAATGATGCCAGTGGTATATTCAGGCTCCTTAGGCTCAAAGCCTAAATGATATGACCTCATATTTCACTCCACTGACAAGTCGGATCGTCTTGTCAACTGCATTTATTCATTGCGCTGTTTTCTACACATACAATGTAACTTCAGTACATCATGGACTGTCGTCAGTCAAGTTCTCCCTGCTCGTTCCTTAAAGAAAACAGAGCGACTCCCATATGACTCCCATTCAAACTTAACTACAGCCTTACAGAGTTACCCTTCTCTCTTTCTCTCTTTCGCTATACATATATACACACATACATAAATAAATAGATAAATAAATATATAGATAGAAAGATATATAGGCAGGTATGTAGGTAGGTAGATAGATAGATAGATAGGCAGGTATGTAGGTAGGCAGAAAAGATAGATAGATAGATAGATAGATAGATAGATAGATAGATAGATAGATAGATAGATAGATAGATAGATATGTAAACAGTATAATTCAACTAATAACTTCCAGGCAATCCTCCTTCGGTTTCTGCTGAGGTCCCTGTACAAGTCTCCTTCACCCAAGAATTAATCAATCTGCCCATCTTATATCTATTAAATTAAAATATTTACATATATATATATACATATATACCCTAGGTTACCTTTTATTCTAGCTTGCCATCACACAGTAATGTGGGCTCGTGTATTTTCCGATATGCAGTCCAGAGATTGTTAGTGTCTAAGTGGCTATCCGATATCATAATATGTAAGCCTGGGACAACTTAATTTCATATTGCGTGAGCTAGAGCCGAAAAAGTAAAATAATTCTCCAACCTTGTCCTACTCCTCAAAATGACTATGATCACACGTCTTACAGACTGACCAAAGAGAAAAATTGTCTGAATGGTGGTTACTTGCTGGGGAGACTATCATTTCGTATGAAATTGTATGAAAAAGAGATTCATATATTGATTAGAAGGAAGAAGAAATGATAAAGTCTCCGGTGAATACATGCACAAGACGTCTCTTATAACTTGATTTTTAGTTAAGTTGGCTTCAGTTTAAATGAGTGGTAGATAAGCATTTTTTACCTTGTGTTTAACCTCTTGAATTTCAGCTAATTAAAACAAGTCGCAATCAGAAGAAGAAATTGGGTGAGACGAGCTACTTTTGCCCGGTTACCTTGAAGCTGCACAATGTTGTATGGGCAGGCAATCCTGAGATTGCAGCCAGATACAAGGGAAAGCTGTACTACTTTGTGAGCTACGACGCTCGAAACCAGTTCTTCGAGAATCCGGAACTCTTCCTTGGCGATGGAAAGCAAGCATTAAAAGTAATTCCTCATCTATGAATTGTAAATATATGCTTCTAAAGAAGCAGAAATATAGCAAAATATCCGAAGTAGTCAATAGAAAATGAAATAACACAAGGCAATTACATAAGGTTTCCCTAAAAGCCTCCACCACCATACCCAAAAAAACCAGACCGTCCACATCTTGTTATCCACCGCTCTCTCTTCTTCCGTAATATGGCTCTAAAGCACTTTATGGGTTTAATAAATTACTTGTATAAAATGTATGAGATGTGTTCACGCTATTTAGTTTAAGCCAATGAAGTACTAGTTGTTAAATTTTTCCCAATAAGATGAGTAGACCTTACGCTTCTATTAAATTTATCATGCCCTTACATTCCCAAAAGGTAATCTCATTCTGGCGGTAGTGGACTGCAGTTTCTAGCTCGCCTAAACCGGTCTTACCAGCACCCTTAGAGGGACTCGAATCATAACAGTGTAGCGTATAATCTATACAAGTTAACAAATAGGCCATATTATTGGGGAGATCTTCATTTGGTATGAAAGTGCATGCAGAAGAGATTCGTAGGTCGATCTGACCAGAAGAGGACTGCTGAATCGCGTTGTACTGCAGCCGTTTGGGTTTTATACAACTTTCAGGTTGACGCAGTCCATGAGACCTTTTCCCTCGTTTCCGGTGAAAACAGGACGATGTCTCGTGGACTGC